GAGGGGTCCCAGACTGCGAGAGGGCACAGGCCGGGCTGAGGGACCCCCCCCCTCCTTCCCAAATGCACAAATTTTTGTGCACCGGGTCTCTAGTATTGCATATAACAAAAGGGTAGTATGCAAATAGACCAAACAGCAGAACAACTGAACAACCAATCAAAGCATAATATGCTAATGATATGCTAAGGCTGCTCAACTGCTTGCTATGATATGCAGTGACCATCAGGGGGCAGATAGTCAACTGGTCAACCAGTCACTATAACGTGCACTGATCACAGGGGGCAGATGCTCTGACCAGTATGTTAGCTTGCTGCTGGGGTCTGGCCGATCGAGACTAGCGAATGGGCTGGACATGCCCTGGAGCCTTCCCGCTTCCCTCCCAGTCCCTATCATGTACCTGTGGGGTCCCTTTGCCTGGCCTGAGACCTCTTGCAATATGGGACCCCTCAGGGGATGTCGGAGAGCTGGCTTCAGCCCGATCCTGCAGGTCACTCCCCTTGGGAGGGCACCAGACATAGAGCTCATGACTGGCGAGCACTGCTGCAGCAGCGAGAGCCTTCCCCTAAGTTTGATTGGGTGCAAGCTCTTCTTGCCCCTTCTATGCCCCCTTTCCATTGAAATTTGTCAGCCTGTTCCATGTTTCTATGCTTCTGGCTCTAGTTTGTTCATCGTTTGTTTTGTTCACTATATTCCATATATAAGTGAGATAATGTGATACTTATCTTTATCTGACTGGCTTATTTTGCTTAGCATAATACTCTCAAGGTCCTTCCATGCTGTCTCAAAGATTAAGATATCCTTCTTTTTTACAGCTGCATAGTATCCCATAGTATCCCACAGCTTTTTTTATACACTCATCTACTGACGGGCACTTGGGTTGTTTCCACATCTTAGCTATTCTAAATAATGCTACTATGAACATTGGGGTACATACATTCTTTCTGATTGGAATTGATATATTCCTAGAAGTGGGATCACTGAGTCAAACAGCAGTTCCATTTTTTTAAAAAAATATATTTTATTGATTTTTTACAGAGAGGAAGGGAGAGAGATAGAGAGTCAGAAACATCGATGAGAGAGAAACATCGATCAGCTGCCTCCTGCACACCTCCCACTGGGGATGTGCCCGCAACCCAGGTACATGCCCCTGACCGGAATCGAACCCGGGACCTCTCAGTCCGCAGGCCGATGCTCTATCCACCGAGCCAAACCAGTTTCGGCCAGCAGTTCCATTTTTAATTTTTTGAGGAAACTACATACTGTTTTCCATAGTGGCAGTACTGTCTGCATTCCCATAAGCAGTGTACTAGGGTTTCCTTTTCCTCCACAACCTCGCCAGCACTTGTTGTTTGTTGATCTATTGATGGTAGCGTTTCTGGTAGGTGTGAAGTGGTACCTCATTGTTGTTTTAATTTGCATCTCTCTGATGATTAGTGACTTTGGGCATTTTTTCATGTCTATTGTCCATCTGTATGTCCTCTTTGGAGAAGTGTCTGTTTAGGTCCTCTGCCATTTTTTAATTGGATTGTTTGTCTCCCTTTTGTTAAGTTGTATGAGTACTTTATATATTTGAAAATTAAACCCTTATCGGATATATCATTAGCAAATATGTGCTCCTATACAGTGGGTTCCCTTTTCATTTTGATGTTGGTTTCTTTTGCTGTGCAGTAGCTTTTTAGATTGATGTAGTCCCATTTGTTTATTATTTCCTTTTTTTCTCTTGCTCTAGGTAGTGTATTGGTGAAAATTATGCTACATGAGATGTCTGATAATTTGCTGCCTACATTTTCTTGTAGTATTTTTATGGTTACATGACTTACATTTAAGTCTTTTATCCATTTTGAGTTTATTCATGTGTGTTAAAGTATCTTCTATTGTGGCCTCTTTACTTCTATTGTGTAAAGTGTTTTCAAATATTACAAAATTAAATGTTTTCTATTATTAATGTAAAGTTATTTTATTTTTTAAATGGTTCAATTTGCTATGATAGAAATGTATTATTTATATAATATGGTAAAGTCTAAAGAAATTTCACTCACATATTTTATTAAAGTTTAAATTGACTTGTTAATACTTTCAATAAAATGTGTCAAACTGGTTTTTAGCCAACATCAATACTTATTTCTGAATTTTAAAAAACTGAACACACTAAAATATTCAGGAGAATGATGTACTTTGGTTAACTCAGATTCTTATTTACAAAATTATATCCATCTTTACCTTATGGAAAAATGTGATCAAGATAGTGAATGATGTTTAATAATAAAACCCCAAAAGTTGATAATTTTCCTATGAAGAACTTCTGTGGACAGATTCAAAGACACCCACAAATGTCTATGCTGCTGAGAAGAGCTCAGGGTACAAATAAATGGTTTGAAACTGTAAATAAAACATAACTTCTTAACTAGCCCACTAAATCATTTTAGGCTCAAAATCATGACTGGCATAGGAGAAAAGTTAGCGGAAGAGTGGATTTTAATGGGGAAAAAACTTAAGAAGGGTTAGCATTAAATCACTTATTTAGCTGACCTTACAGTAGACAGGTAGGGGGATATATACACACACACACACACACACACACACACACACACACACACATACATATATATACATACACAGACACACACATATTTATATTTGTATGGCAGATGGCAGGCTGGGAATATCTAGAGATTAATCTTGTTTTCAAAATAGAAAACTAGTTCACTATAAAGTAAATTTAACTTCTCACTGCACACAATATACACTCAAAAAAATAAATGAAGAGTGAAAATGGCATTTCACATTTGACCTACATATCAAATGACAACAAGAAAAGCAAGATTTGCTTTGAAGTCCATCTCTAGAAGATTTTATTGCAGGATCATGAACATATACTACTAGTAAATGCTTAGATACAAAATCATGTTCTCCTCTCCCAAAATCCTACTTAATACTCAATTAGAAAAATATTGAAAACTTAAAAGGAAAGTAAATATAAAGTACAATGGCATCGTTCAATGCATTTTAAGAAATGACATGTTATCACACAGTAACTCAAGCCTCTGAAAGAAAATAATCATACAATTGTACACTTGAAACCTATATAATTTTATTAACCAGTGTCACCCAATAAATTTCATTAAAAAGAAAAATATAATCCAATATTAATGAATAGTATTATGTTCTCCACTATGTAAAATCCCTATTTCAAAATCTAAACAGGAAACCTGCCTTTCCTATTCACAGTATTATTCAAAGAATCAAAAAACCTTTAAACCTGGAAAGAAATTTAAACATCAACCCATTGAACTATTCCCAAATTAAATAAGGTGTCCCAGACTAAATGTCAAGTGCATAGTAAAGTCAACAGTAAATCCAAGTCTTGTGATAGAGAGGACAGTGCTTTTTACACTACAACCCGGCTTTCTCATCACTGATTCCTGAAAAGGAAATACTAAAACTTTTAACAGTCATTCTCTATATCTTTCTGTATTAAAAATGACTATCCTAGTTCTTCCAAAAGTATTTAAAATAAATTAAACATAGGCTACAGTGATGTAATAGCAAAACCACATACTTTAGTATTTTAAGTCAGCATTTTTCAATGCCAAACAATATAACTCATATGGAGACTATGAACTCCAATAACATTGATTTAGTTTTCTTTTCACTTAAAGCCAATTTGCTTCTAGGGTTAAGTACCCTTAAATTTTATGTTTGTCTATCTTCTCTTGGTTAATTTTGAGAGAAATAAATATTCATTAATCATTCAAAGTATGGCCTTTTGGGAAAGGTATATCTTAACCTCACCAATTTATCAGGGAGACTGGGAATACAGCGTTTAATTTTTTTGCCAACTCTTTGGTTCAATTTTCAATCTCTCCATTTAATATTTTAAAGTTTCACGGGATTTTATTTGTTGTTTGCTTATTGCTGGGAGAACCTCTGATCTACTGACCTTTCATTGTATAGAACATTAGCTTGGTCCTATTTTCTCTTACCTGCCAACCAAGAAATGTCATCTGTTATATGTGTTTTGATATGCTTCTAAGAGATAGGGCTATAGCATCCCTAATATAAACAGCTGATGACTACTGGAGCAAGTATCAAAGACAGGAGGCTAGAAGCTGGTACTTTGAAAGCTAGTACCATCTCTCAAAACAAATAAACAATACATGAAGAAAAATTGCTATGTATGGAGAATATTTAGTGAGGCATTCCAAGCTCTAACAATTTTAACAGAATATTATAAGTAGTCTAGATGTAGAAATTACACCAGGAATATTTTCTTCATTTTAGGTGATAGAATAAAGTCTCAATGCATGATAATAGAAAATTAAACCTTTTATGAAGGTACTGGGTATTCTATATTCCAATGAATGTAAGTTAACTTCATTTCTCTTAAGAAACAAAGTTCTGTATATGAAAGAACTTAACTTATTTGGCAAATTATCTTTACAGTTTTAATCAAGGGTTGATGAGCACACTTACTCTAGATGAGTCATAAGAGGGGCTTGGTTGACCACTTGTTCCCCAAGATGGTGTACTTCCTCGTTCATCCATACCTATGGAGAGAAGAAAGTGAAAGATATTAATCCAAAAAGATACCAAGATGGATGTTTCTTTGGTATAACAGAAGAGTACAATTCAGTGAGTGGCGTATGTATTTGCCTGGAACTGGCTGTATATCAATCTTTTGTCTCAGAAACCAGCAGAAAGTAAATTCTGTCAGAGCATCTTCATCACTGCTTCATAAAATGCTCTATATATACTGCAGAATTTCCATACCAAAATACATCTTTGGAGACTTTAGACTAGGGCATAATTTGGGCCTCTCCATCTTTATCCCCATCCATTGCTACTTCTAAGAGTAGATGAACCCCCACAGGTTTCTACAGTTTAGTACTGCCTCATGAAAATATAAAGAATTCAGTTCTTAAGGATAAAACTTAGAAAATGAAGCAAGTTAAATAACTGTTCAAGTTAATAAAACTGGTTTCTATCAGAGCATTGATTAGATATTCTTAAAGATAGCAAGCTAAATCAACCCATATCAAATCAACATTAGTTACATCAAAGCTAATCAAAATGACATGACAACTCATCCTAGTAAAATTTTTTCTAAATCTGAATCCAAATAAATATATCCACGCTTATGAAAATTGCACAGGAGAAGTCAAAGTGAGAAGGATTGGTAACCATTAACAACAAAAGAATTCATTGTATTCCTTAATGTACCTTCTGAAGCTTTGGTTCCAATATTTTCACCTTCTCATCAGTCCCCATAAAAATGTGAAAGAGATGGAGATCTCTCAATCCAGCCATCTCTCCCTTTTCGGTTTTGAAGATCAGTCTTTTTCATCCTTGACTGCTAACAGGGTATACTTTACCAACTCCTCTGAGCTTCTTTTTATGACAAAATAAAAATAGTTGACTTTTTTGGTTTCATTCTTGCATGAGAAAACTCAAGAATTTAAAAAGAAACATTCCACTATTTTTTGAACCTCTTTTTCTTCAAAAAAAATTCCTTTTAAGTCTTCTGTGATTTAAATGAGAATGTGATGTGTAGTAAGCTAAATGTCCCAAATTCTCCAGTAACTGGCCAGCATTCCCAAAGCTCTTTCAGAGGGACTGAATTACCAATTGAAGCGTTAAGTGACAAAAAGCAGGGGAAAGGAGTCAGTTTCCAAGTAAAATCTACTAATTACTAATTCAGTTCGTATGACCCTAATTCTTTTGAAGAATCTATATTTCCTATATAAAATGATTAATATATATTTTTAAAGTTTTTTGACAACATTAGAGAAATGATGGGTACCTAACTAAAGACCACATTCTAGGCAGAATTTCAAGTGAAACCAAAGTTTTGAAAACACAGAGATTATGCACAAAACTACGAAATGTTCATTCTTTGAGAATTATCGAAATTCTACATTTAAGATTCTATCTTATCAAAATATACTTTGTTACCGTCTCTCTAAGGGCTATTTTCCAAGCATTTTCTTCACAATCAACACTAGAATAGTACATAGAAATCCCATGAGACTTGATTCAAGACAAAGGCTAGTATTAACCTACAAAACCCACTTATATAAAACTACTTAATTTTTAAATACCTTCCATTTGCAATTATTTTTCTATATGAGGTAAAAAAAAAATTTATACTAGAGTCCTGGTGCACGAAATTTATGCACGGCGGCGGGGGAGTGGGGGGGGGGGTCCCTCCCCTCAGCCCCGCCTGTATTCTCTCTAATCTGGGACCCCTCAGGGGATGTCCAACTGCTGGTTTAGCTCCTATCCCGAAAACTGGCAGTCAGACATCCTTCTCGCAATCTGGGACCCCTAACCGCTCGGCTGGCTGTCTACCTGCCTGCCTGCCTAGTCGCCTCTAACTGCTCCCCTACTGGCCTGATCACCCCTAACTGCCCTCCCCTGCTGGCCTGATCACCCCTAACTGCCCTCCCCTGCTGGCCCGATCACCCCCTAACTTCCCTCCCCTGCCAGCCTGATCTCCCCTAATTACCTCTGCCTCAGCCCCTAAGTACCTCTGCCTCAGCCCCGGCCACTGTGGCTTTGTCCAGAAGGCGGTTCAGAAGATGTCCGGTCTAATAGCATATTACTCTTTTATTAGTATAGATGACCAACACAAAATATAAAAGTAAATTGGCTACTGGGAAAGCAGGGTCTCAAATATTTGTACACCCATGTTCACGGCAGCATTATTTATAATATTCAAGTGTCTATCAGAAGATGAATGGGTTAAACAAAATGTGGTATATACTTACAATGGAGTATTATTCAACATTAAAAGGAAGAAAATTCTTACATATGCTAAAAATGGATGAACCTGAGAGCATTATGTTAAGTAAGCCAATCACAAAAAGACAAATACTGTATGATTCCACTTATATGAGGTCCCGAGAGTAATCAAATTCATAGAGATAGAAAACAGAATGGTGGGACTGGGGGAAGTGGGAAAAATCACACTTTCATTAAATATTTATAACAATGGAAATTTATTTTGATGATCCCATCCTAATGAAAATAATCAGAGAAACCAAGATGGCAGCATAGGTAAACACCGCACAACCACTTCAAAACTACAACTAAAAGATAAAACACACATCATCCAGAACCACAGGAAGGCTGGCTGAGTGGAAATTCTACAACTAGAAGGAAAGAGAAAAGCATACCGAGACTCAGAGGAGGTGCGGAAGTAACATACTAAGGTGCGGAGGTGCATGTGGAGTGGGCTGGCGGCTGAGGGCGTGGTTGTCTTTTGCAATCGGGAGGGAGTCTCAGGCTCTGAGCTCCAGTTCCGGGCGAGTCTTTGGGGACCCAGGCTCATACGGGAGAAGCGGGACTGTCTGGGATTGGTAGGAACTCAAGGGCATCTTTCTCTCGGAGGTGCTTGCAGCGATTACTGGGACACTGAGAAGCAGAGCCTCTGAGGGCAGGACTGAGAGCAGCCATAACTGCTCGCTCAGCCCTGTGGATCCTGTGGGATCCTCCCTGCCCCGCCCAAGCCCTGCACAGAGGCTTTTGCTGGATAGCCTAAGGCAGAGGCTAGATTAGCACCTCCCTAGAAGACAGAAGTTCTCTCACTGCAGACACAGCTGATTCTCACAGCCACTTGGCCTGGAGGTCAAATCCCCCCTGGTGTTAGCTACAATAATCAAGGCTTAACTAAAAGACTGCTCACAAAGACCACTAGGGGGTGCACCAAGAAAGCATAACAAAATGCGGAGACAAAGAAACAGGACAAAATTGTCAATGGA